ATATAGATGGTATCAAAAACAATACTAAAAAATGTATGTTTTGTCCATATCTCTAACACTCGATAACATTGTTGAGTCTCACCTTTCCTTTGATTACTACTTTTACATAGCATGGTTGCACATCAACATCAAGCAATGATGTGTCCAGGTGTTTATAACATTCTACATCCAACAATAATGCATTACTCTTTTCATCATCGCTTAAACTGAAATTAATTCTGAAAAAACCCACAAAATAAATGTTTTCATAACAGCATAAAAACTTTGATGAATGAAGTGTTAACAACAAACTTTAACAAAATAAGTTGGTAGTTTTTGTTTTCATTACTAATAATAACATTTTCTATGAAGCCTTTGACATGTTAAGTAATATATGTATTATAATAAATACAACAGCTACAGGATTCATAAGATATCTGCCTTGCCAACAGTTATCACTCTACAGTTCCATCGTTTTAGTTGTAAGTCAGTCACTGACTCATACAGATGTGCACATGATGCTCTATTTGACAATTGAAAATAAACTATATTAAGAAATCAGTATTTCATGTGAAGCATTAAAATGTCTAAGTGTAAGACCAGACCCTTGAGATGTTTTGTGTATAATTTATATGACAACTATTTTACCAATGCTATTATTAATGGGTCCAAGTGAATATCCAACAACATACTTTCTCAAGCTTACTTGTGTTTAGCAAATAAACTTGTGTCATGGCTTGATTAGCATAACTCAAAAATATCGTAACTTTTAGATTTGATTTTAATCAAAATTGAAAGAATTTTCAACTAAGTTTTGCCGACAATACAACTTTAATACTTCTCTGTTTATGAGATTGATGGACTTCCATTGGACACAAAAAACTTACTTTGCTTCATTGACATTAAGAATTGTTCCATCATCTGTCTGTAATCGCACTTCTCTCTGTGGTACATGAGGACCAGATTTCCTAATGAAAAAAATCAAACATTTAGTTGTGGTGTTACCTCCCACAGTATGCCTCCTCATTTTCTCACATGAATTTAACATACAATGACAATAACAGGTAGCAGCATAGAAACACTGAAAGAAAAATCAGATCTGTAAATTGCAATATTATAAACCATAAATTGTTAAATTTTAGAAATAATGACCAAACATGCTGCCAAAATGTTCATTGTGAATTAAACATGTCACAGGATGTAAACACCAGTCTAACAATATGCATTTCATGGATGTCAGCACAAATAGAGTTATTAATAATGATTGAAAGGAGACTCATCCAGGCAGGGACAGAGAATACACAATCTAGTCTTCCTTTAAGGGACAGGATGGCCTGATCTCCCATTCACTCACTTTCCTTCTTCTTTTTTCTTTTCTTCTTCTACCATTTGTTCATGCATTTCTATTCTGGATTCCGGTGTAAATGGAATTTCTTCATCCCAATAACTGGAAAGTATGGAAAGAGAGGTAGTCAGCAATTTCATTTTCAAAAGTATAAACAGTTATGTGTACAGAAATATCTACCTGTATATGTAATCAGTAAACGTATTCACAAATATTTTCATTTTATTTCAAATATGTAATTAAGAGAATGAGTCATACTCCATTATGTATACAATCAAGAACATGCTATAAAAACAATAGACCCTGTAAGTATTCATTTCAGATAACGTCTTTCTGGAGAAGTACACAGTGTTAAAATGAGTATGTATTATAAACGGCATGAAGAATAAACCAGAGGTTGTTGCTTTCATTCACAGGTCTTTCTAGTCATGAGATTACTGTTTTGAATAAATAGAAATGACCTGCAATCCATGACCAACAGTATGTATTTTGGTAAATAATTGAACATGGAGGTCAGATTTGTTAACATCATGCTAACAATAAGACATGTTTTATTATAGTAACTGGGACTCCTTCAGGTTAACTAAATGACTGTTCATGTTTAATTAGGAATCCCCCAATTTTTAAAAGTGATAATATCATTACTGAAATTGTCAACTTGTAATTTCACAGCTACTATGAATTATAAAATTTCAACAAATTAATTATGTGCATATGTGTGACACGATGTATATATACAGTTTAAAAATGATTGGTCAAGTCATAAAGCTTGAACTTCAAGATGGATTGATTTTTTTATTTTAAAATCTTAGTTATCAAATATTTTCTTTACTGTTCATGGTCAATTTTTGTGTACAGTTGATGGTTAGTGTAATCTTATGTGCATATAAATATAAATTTTTATCTACTTGGCCATATTTCTAAGAAATTCTGTTCACTTCCAGATCAGTCTATAGACAGACTAAGTTTGGTATGTGCAATAGATATATAAGGGACTTACTCATCTTCTTTTTTTGCTGCTTCCTCATCTTCCTCGTTTTCCTCATCTGCTTTTTCAATATCTTTCCTCTTTTCAAGATCCTCTCTATAAAGGATAACCAACAATATCAACACTTAGTCTCAGGATGAGGAAATAGTAACAAATAAGCAATGCATGGCACAGTCCCCATTAGTTATCAAATTTAAGATATATAGTTATGTTTATAGTAATATAGTTGGAACATAAACATGTCAGAAATATGGATTCAAATGCTGATGCTTGATTATGATTTTTTAACATTAAAATCAGTCATCTTGTATCTGATTCAGCATTAATTAAACCAAAATGGCCACCGGTCGGCCATTTTGAATTGAATAGTCAAACCAATATATCTGTATACCTTTGACATGATGTATAATGAATATATAAAATTTGAACATAATCAGTCAAAGCATGTCAGAACCACATTATTTA